CATCGTTTGAGATACATTCTTCTCAGGGGAGGGGCAGGCATCCACTTAGTATTTGGGGCTGGGACCAGCCCCCTAGACCTCTCCACTGATTCCCTACTCCACGCCGGCATAGCAACACGGTTCTTACAGGTGATATTTATTTTTAAATGATTGTGAATTGAGTTGGGGGGGGGATGGTATTAAGACCATCAACTGCATTCAACAGTACAAACCTACGTCTCAACACGACTCCCCATGTTGCGAACCCCCAGGCTCTGATGTCTCTCCTCCATCCTCCCTTCCCCCCAAGTCAACGCCTGTCAACCCTTCTTCTTCTTCCCATCTTTGTCCACCCCCTCCCTTGAGAAGTTCAAAGTCTATGTCTTGGTTTTTATCCTGATAGGTGATCGCATACAATATTTGCCATTCTGTGGTTGATTGACTTCACTCAGCTTAAAGACCTCTAGGTTCATCCAAGTCACGAGGTGCTTGGTGGTTTCAGCATTGTTTAGCAGTGATTCATGCCCTGTGTTCATGCACCAATAGTCGTTATTATTATTTTTAATAGCCATTATTTTTTAGTCGATTTATTATTTAGATACAAAGAAACCTTGGATTGGTTTGGGTTCAAGGTCAGAAGAGGACCTCAAGGCAATAATCTTGGGGAGTCCTCTACTTTCAACCAGCCCAGTAAGTCTGCTGTGGTTTGGGTTTTGTTTTTAGGAAGTTGAGGTTTTAGTTTGTATTTCTCTCCATTTATATCAGGGTCCATCTAGTGTTGCCTTGATCAGAATGGTCAAGAGTGGCTGTCAGACAGAGAAAAACCTAGGGTCTTACATCTGGGTATTGCTTCATAATACTTCTGCCAGAACCTATCAGCATTTCTTCCCATGCAGAGCTTGGTGACCTGGGACAATGACAGACTCACCTGTGTCCAGAAGGGGGAAAAGAAGAACAGAGGCTGGACCCATTGGCTGGGAGGGGATCAACTCCACCTGGTACTGGCCATATTTTGTTCTTAATTTTTGATGAGAGAGAGCATATAAAGGAAGACATTAAACTAGGACTGATAATCCTGCCCTCCTAACTCAACTGTTTCCATTTTGCATCATGCCTTTCCATATCAGTATGGCCTCCCTTTTCATTGAATAGAAAACGATGCTCCAGGTGTCTAAAGAATTCCCCTCTGGGATTCCCCAGGCCCTTGTTGGACATTCAGAGTAGAACAGAATCCTCTTGGCAAGATGTTCCATTGAGTTGCTGAGCGGTTGCTTTGATAAAACATTCCCTTAAGTACCCAGAAATATTATCTCAGGGGCTTTTGTGCTACTGCTTAAACTCCTGTGCACTGCGCTTTTGGTAGCCATTGTTTGACTCCCTTGGGATGAAATCCCAGATGGAATCACGAGAAAACACCCCAGCCTTTGCCTCTTGCTACTTTATTGCCTTCCTCTCTTCTAGAAGGATGTATCAATTTACTAGCCCGCCAGCACAGAAGTACATGAATTTGCATGGAAGTATAAGTGACAGGGAGAGGGAGGGAGGGGAAAAAGAGAATCTGATACCAAGGGCTCAAATAGAAAGTAGAACGCGTTTAGAAAATGATGGCAACATCTGTACAAATATGCTTGATACAATGGATGTGTGGACTGTTATAAGAGCTGTAAGAGCCCCAGAAAATGATAAAAAAGAAAAAGCATATGTGACAGTTAAACCTCATTGATACTCTTTCAATGTGATGTTAAAATGTAATTTAGAAGGTATAAAATTGTATACCTGTGCATACAATTGTATACCTGTGTAGCCCTGGCTTTTAAAATGAGAATTCCTTCCTGCCACATATAATAATGGCAAACAGATTGCTGCCGGGACCCTTCTGGCTGAGGCTGAGGCTGACCCCATGCTTGTCCACGTAGACCTGTGCTCCATAGGGTTTCAATGTCTGGTTTTTCCGAAGTAGATCACCAGGCCTTTCTTCTGAGGCACTCAGGCTTCCAGGTACCAGCCCGGCATATCAGTCAGTTACACCAAGTAGCTCGTATTGGGTGGTTCTTTTGTGCCGTTACTTTGCACAACCCTCTAAGCACAAGATCTCAGTTAATATCAACATCATTTGAAAGGGATGCGCCCCCCTCCCTTTTTTTTTTTGCATTTGCAAATGAGAAAAAGAAGAGAGAAAAAAAGGAGGAGGTTCCATGATTCCCCAGGGCTACAGAGTGGAGATTCAAACCCAGGTCTGAGAAGACGATGTGCTTCCAGCCCTGTGCCTGTTTGCCTCTCTGATCGGGGAACCTTAGGTCAGATCCGGGAAACAAACCTGGAGAGCATTTAAATAGAAGTGATGTGTTGATTCTATTTTGACAAATCTCATACGCTTCTGACAGCAAGAGCAAGGTAAGTCCCTTGCCATCACACAAAAAAAATGCCACCGGAAACTACACCTGTGCTTGGGGGTCTCACTTCATTAACTGTAAGAGGAAGTGTCCACATTGAGCACACGGCCAGCGCTCTATCCAGCTGAGTTGTGGCAGATGGACAACCTTTGTCCTTCAGGTGACACTCACATGCCACCTCATCAGCTTTCTTCTTCTTCTCTTCCTCCTTTTTGCCAGGAAATGTTCTGTGAAGGTCAAGTTTGCAAGCAGACGTTCCAGAGAGCCTGATTGGTCCCCAGTAAGAGAATCTACTTGTGGAAGGAACAGACGTCCACCTGTCCAGACTTGGGGAGGGGAACTGGCAGTCGAGGAGATTTAATATACTCTATACCAGACACCCTGTGGATTGTGGGGAAGTGGCTTGGCTCTAATAAAACTGTCTAAACAATGACTC